ATATTCATGACTGCCTAAGTCACAAAGGAAATAGAAACATTATTAAACATTATTGCAGTAACCAGACCTTAAACCTTAAAATACCTACATTGCCTAATGAAGTTCAGAGGTATCTGCAAAACAAATATAAATAAATCAAGCTACAGATGAACTAGTGGAAAATAAATCTATCTTCCCATCAAAGAAAAGCATTATTATTTCTTAAATTTTGAGAAGCATTATTTTTATAATAATTGAAATAATGAAGGACTTCATGAAGAAAAAAAACAGGCAATAATTATTATAAAACTGTATAATTCCTCCAAAATAATGCATAACTCATTAAAAAAGCAAAAAATGATAGAATAAAAATCTTGAGAAAAAGGCGCCCAATGAAGGATTAATTATCTGTCATGTATAGAATTTACATATATTGCTTCAAAAAATAAAAGTCTGGGATTCAGATGGCTACATGGGCAAAATAATGTATATCTATCTGTATATCTATATCTATATCTATATCTATATCTATATCTATCTGTCTATCTATCTATATTCACCCAAAGAAAAAGCAAAAATAAATATTTTTAAAAGGCAAGCTTGCACTCACTAGTGAATTAATTGAAATGACCATAAAGCGGCATTTCACAGTAATAACGACATGCTATAATTATTGTCCTTATTCTTGGTTACCTGGTTCTTACTACAAAGTAGCCGGGCTTATCAGGCCCAAAAGCAAAGCAAAACCCAGATCACGCTTAGCAGAAAGCCGATGTGTTCACTGGAAGTACCACGTGTGTTGGAGGTCATTTGGCAAATGCGAATATTTCTGAGCGTTGAGCTAGAGAATAAAGTCTGAGAATTTCTCACAAGGAAGTAACTGAAAGGAAGAAAGAAACAAATCATGGTACAAAATGTTTATAGTGGGGCTGTCAGTCACATTTCAAGGACCTGTAAACATGTGAAACACACAACAATAGAGACATCCACGCAAAAGGGAATATGCACCCATTAAATGATAAGTATGATAAAAATACCTGAAATTAGTTAAATAAGCAAAAAAGATTGAATAAAAGGAAGTTACATCTATGTCATCCAGCCAACTTACAAAAAAATTATAAGTGTGGGTAAATGTTGGAAAGAATAAAAATTGTTCAGAATGTGTGGGGTTCTGAGTGAAATTTTAAGACACATTTTTTCTTTAAATGTTTAAATTTGCTTTAATAAATAAATTTTTAAAAATAGAAGCAGAGGGCCAGCCAAATAGCTCAGTGGACTAAAGGGCCTGCAGGCAGGTACGGGGGCTGGGGTTTGATTCCCAGGGCAAGCTGAGATGGCGGTTGAGACTGGGGGTGGTGGCCTGTGCCTGTAACCCCAGTTCTTGGGAGGCTGTAAACAGGAGGATCACTATGAGTCCGATCTAGTAGTGAGACCCTGAACACCCTATAGACTGTTTCCTAAAGTACAAAAACAAAATAATAATAATAATAATAATAATAATAATAAATAAAATATCCCTTTAAAGATGGCTTCCTTTAAAAAAATTCTTTTAAGAAAAATGTCAGCAAGGAACTGGGGCCATAGCTTGGCAGCATAACCTCCTGCCCAGCAAACACAAGGTCACAAGTTTGACCCCTGGTACCACAAAAACAAGAAAAATGTCAGCAATTTTGCTTCTGGGAAGCCTCTTGTTCATGTGGAGTAGGGGATGGAGGGGTGTTATTGTGTGCCACACAGGGAAACACCCAGGATGCTTCCATTGCCCATCACAGGTAGAAGGCTTCTACCCCAACACAGCTCCATAAAGGAGGGCAGCAAGAATGGGACAAGGACTTTCAAAGGCTGCTCTCTGAAGCCTGGGGTCTGCTGGGGCCCTTGGTGCCACAGGGAAAGGACACAACCTTCTGGAAGGCTACCCCCCCCCCAGCCTTGTGGACCCCTCCTCTGCCCTCTCCTCTGAGCTGGATGAGCTTGTCTAGAATATCAGGCACCTGAAAAATATCACAAAACTGCACAAGAGGATGGCAAAACCTTGAGACTCAGGAGTCTGGAGCACTCTGGGTCTCCTATTCCTCAATTCCAAGACGAGAGCTCCAACCCCTGCCTTGTTTATTGGGAGCAGATGCAATCCAGGGTGCAAGAGCACTTCTGTAAGGTGCTATAGGTGATTTATTATGATCGCATTAAAAGGAGTAGGAAAATATGTTGAATGCTTTCATTGTATGAGGGGCCTAGAGAAGCACAAGCCCTTGAGACAGAACATGGAATGGGAGTTCCCAGGGGCTGGGGGCAGGGGAGGAAAGGGGGGTTCATGTTCAATGAAGGGGGTGCAGAGTGTAGAAAGATGAAGAAGGCTGGAGATGGACAGTGTGATGGCGGAACAAGCATGCCTGTGCTTAATGTTGCTAACAGGTGAGAAGCCTTTGGAGATCTGGAGAGGACCCTTCACCCCCCTTTGTTCACTCTATGACACTGTGGATCTCTATGACACTGTGACACTTGTAGATTATTTTTATGGGCCTGAACAGCCCTTACACAATTTCATTCATCCATCCATCCATCCATCCATCCATCCATCCTCCATCCATTCATCCATCCATCCATCCATTCATCCATCCATCCATCCATCCATCCATCCATCCATTCATCCACTCATCCATCCATCCATCCATCCATCCATCCATCCATCCATCCATTCATCCATCCACCCATCCATTCATCCATCCATCCATCCATCCATTCATCCACCCACTCATCCATTCATATTTATTCATAGTCTCAGTGCCAAGCACTGCTGCTGTAAGCATTTAGTAATAAAGCTACACACCCAGCTGCAGGCCCACATACACAGCCCCCAACAAGGGTGCTGGCCCTTGTTGGCCTCTGTTCTCGGGCTGATGACAGTGGGTGTCTAAACTACACATATGCAGTAGGCACAGTCCTAGGCACTTTCCAAACATAGGTTATTTAATCCTTGAATGTTCCTGATAAATACTGGGGTAAGTCCAGGGCTGGCCAGTGGCAGAGGCTGGGGCTCAGCTGGACAGAGTGGGCAGCCCTGGGAGAAGGCCTGAGTCCACCATTCAGCATCCCTTCCCAAGCAGGCAGGGGCAGGAGTTGTTTACAAACTGGACAGAGGCAGCAAGAGGTCCAGAGGAAGGGAGTTGGAGTCACCCAGCAGGGTGGCGCTTTGTGGTGACAACACACTGGCATGTAAGAGATGGCTCTAGTGTCTGGAAAAAAGGAACTGGTCTATTTGGGTGGCTTCCTGGGTGTGAGGGGAAAGGCAGGGTCAAAAGTTCAAGCCTGGGGCACCTTCCAGAGCCACTGTTGTGAACAGGGGCTTGGGGGGGAAGGGGGCTGGCAGGAAGGGGATGACTTGGGGGTGCTCTACATGGGTGGGAAACACAATCAGCTTTGCTCATTCATCTGTGGACACTGCACGAGGGGCTGCTCTGTGTCCAGGCCACCACCAGCTCTGGAGCAGCTAGGGGCCACCAGCAGGAGGTCCATTGCATGCTTGCATCTGCCCTCCTTTGTCTCGGGCAGTCACCCAGCCCCTCTCGCCTACCTTTCTCCTGCTCGGCTGCTTCGCTCAGTTCGGGAAGCTTGAGGCCCACCAGGTTCTGGTTTCTCATCAGGATGTGCTCCTTTGTGCGAAAAAGAGAGACCACACTTCAGAGGACGGCAGGCGGGGCTCTTCCTGGGGCTTCCTCTCGTTCTGTGACCATTCTTTCAGCCTTAGGTGGGAATCACAGGGGCAGCAGCAGAGGTGGGATGGCTGGCCAAGGGGGAGCACTGGCTCCCTTCGCAGCCTGTCGCAGTGCCCACCAGTGGTGTCTCGTCTGCTTTTTAAAGAAATCTATGGGCCACAGGGAAAATAAATTGCTCAGCCCTTTATAGAGAGCTGGGGAACAAACAGCTCTGAGAACAGGCCAGTCCCTGGGGTGTGCATGTGGCTGTTCCGGGGATCTTGGGCGATCTGTCTCATGGCTGGCGGACGCTTCCTGCCCTGCTGATCCAGGCAGGGAGGACCCACCTCCACGAGTGGTCACTCCCCCCACCCACCTCCCTCAGCTCCTCAATGGTCTCGCTGGCACTTCCAGCAGATGAGGCCTGCTGCCTAGGGGACTTGGCACGCAGAGCTAGACAGAAGTGGGCCGTGGCCTGCAGGTATGTGGTACCAGCAGGTCCATACTGTTCCCCGCTAGTTGGCACCAGTGGAACATGTGGAGGAGCTCTTTGCCCTTGGTGGTTTGTCCTGTCAGTGGGTTCTCAAGTCTCCTGGGTGGCAAAGGCCACTGGATAAAAAGAAAAGGGGCCAGCAGAGGGTGCTCATGCTCCAAACAGTAACCACAACGAGGCTCAACACCCACATCCCTGGTAGGCCAGAGGCCCACAGCCTTTCAGCATCCTGGGTGGGGGTGCTGATGAGGTGCTCAAGCTGCCAGGGTAGTGGGTAAAGAGTAGCAACGCAGGCCTCCAGGGGCTCTGGAAATTTCTGTGCAGAACAAGAAAAATCTTCAGGGCTGTGGGGTATGGGGATAGCTGCTTGCCTGGACCTGGGGGCCCATGAAGTCAAATCCCTGGCTATGTGGCCCATCTGGCCCCCTTAGCCTCTCCTTCTCCCAAATGTAGGACTGGGCCCTCCCTGGGTAGCTCCCCCAGATTCTGCTCTGACTCACTAGTTACTTTGGTCTTTCTGGCTAGGTAAGGCTTTCTGTGTAAAGTATTCCAGATCAGCAGCCAGGCCTCAGATCCCCTGAGCTCCAGCTTAGTACATCCCAGAATATTTCTCAGTAGGACAGGGGCCAACATCCAACGGTGTCCCTGCTAGCACAGAAATATCCTTACGTGCTTTAGAGCTATCAGGTTTCTCCTTCCTTTCTTGCCCCTCAGTTCCCTCCATAGGCGACAGGGGAGCTTATCTAGCCCCAGATCTCACCCTATGGAGGCCTGGGTTGGGCTTCTATGGAGGGAAGAACTATTCTGTACATTCTTTTCTCCCTCGCACTTTGGTCCCCCTCCCATGCATCTTTAGATACCCCCAATCATGACATGCACAGCGGGGCAGCCTCATGAGTGACCACTGTGCCTGGTTTGATGGCCTAGGGAAGTTGGAGACACCATCGGCATCAGAAGAAATTCACCACAGAGAGACTGGCCCCTTGTGGTCATTGTCATACTTGGACAAGGGTCTGAGGCTCTTGCTTAGCAGACACCAGAAAGAAAGGTTAGGGGCCACTGCAAGGGAAAACCTAGTTTATCCTGGCCTGGCCCTGTTCTAGGCATCACTAGGCACTCCATCAGGGTCCTGTTTGTGAGTAACCAGCTTTGGCTGAAGGAGTAAAATGGCCCCGAATTGAGGGTACACATGCCCTTCCACACATTCATCTTCCCCTGGAATGTGGCTCTCAGCAGCAATTCTAGCCAAGCAGCCTCTGCCTACTGTTAGGGCTAAAAACCACTTGAGACTAGTGTGGTGAAGGTGCTGTCACACAGACCAGCCTGGGTTCTCTGGTAGGGAAGAGCCAGAGCCACCCTGGCCCTGGGCCCAGCCTCAGCCCAGACAGAGTCTTCAACCCAACAGGGACCTGGTGGGCACACTCTGGCTGGCTGCCCCTAGGAACTCACCTCACGGAGCTTGGTCAGTTTCTGCATCCGCACTGGCTGCACTTGTATCTGGAAGTCTTTAAGCCCTGGCACCTTGGCTAGCTTGCCACTGGCTTTGCCTGGGAAGCGCTTTTCTTCCTCTGCCATTGGCAGCTTGGAAAGCACTTTCTGCAACCGGGGACCGGGCTCTTCAGGGCCACTGTCCCAGGAAACCCCTCTCATTAGGGGTGGCCGGGACACAAGAGGTCTCAGTTCAACTTTGGAGCCAAACTTGGAAGCTGGGGGCTCTCCAGTGGAGACTTTTCCCTGGGGGGCTGGTGTGGCCACTCCTCCCGAGCCCTGGGATGGACTTCTCGGCAGAGGGTTGCCTTCCCTGGCTGTCTTTGGTAGCTGCCTCCCCAGCTCGCCTTCAGCAGGGACAGGCGAGGGACTGTTCAGGGCCATTTTTCCAATGCTATTTGTTCCAGAAGGAAGGCCCTTAGGTGTGGTCTCAGGGTGCTGGAGGGGATCGAAGTTTTCTTTTTGTTCTATTGCAAGCTCTTTGGACTTCTCAACAGGGGGAGAACGAAGAGCCAGCCTGCCCTGAGACACTTTCCTTTGGTCATTCTGCTTCCGGTCAGCTAACCCTTTGGGGACATTCTGAAAAAGAAAATGTAAAGTTGAAACCCTGGAGACAGGTTGAAGAGGAGACACAGCATGCAGGGGACTAGATGGACAAGGACAGCCCCTCTGCCAGATCTAAGCCAGCAAAAGGGACCCACAAATAAGACTGGGGTCTGTAAAACAGAGAGGACAGGGACACCTGCAACTGAAAAACAGCCAAGGGCTGCCCAAGAGCCAGGATGAAGGCACCGCGCGACCCAAGCAGCTTTGGCTCCACCTCAGGAGCCCCACACTCTAGTCCTGGCTCTGCCTGGCAAGCTCTCAGTTCTTAAGGACTCACATTTACCACCAAGTTTGGAATCCTCTGAAATTACAAGCAAACTTGTGCATCTGTTTGTGGCTTTTAGCGGGGAGTAGAGGAAAGGGATCCTTAGCTTTTGATCATTGTTTTTATCTGGGAAGAAATTTCATCTTTCAACAGCTTTTCAGACTTCCACGATCCAGGAGAGGACAGGCTCACTGGATGAGGCCATTCCTGCCAGGGTGGTCTGCCACGCCTGGGGAGGTCCCAAGTTTGCACTCTTGCTCCCTGCCGGAAGCCCGCGTGTGAGGCACACGCCAGTCCGTGTCTGGACCTCTCGGTGCTGTCATGGGTAAGTGCTCATGTTCTCCCAGAGATCTCGTCCCTGGACCCAGGTCCAGGTAAGCTTGTGTTTTAAACCTGCCCTCCGTGCCACTTGGAGCACTAGGGCACCTGGCTCCAGGCAGCATGGGGTACTTCTATTGCCTTCGCCAGAGAGGAAATTCCCCTGGATGCTTCCAGAAGAATTCCAACTAGGGCAGAGTTTTCCTGCAATTTCATTGGAGGGTGCAAGAGCAGTAGCTTTGCCAGGGGCTGCTGCCGGGTCCAGAGGGGCCCATCTCTGACCAGCAGCCTGACTGAGACCGCAAGGGATGGGCACAACCTCTCTGAAGGCTGCTCCCCAAGTCCTGCCCCTCCACCCTGTCCTACCCGGTCACAGTGAGCAGAGGAACCTGGGGGCTTTCCCAGCGTGGGGCTTCCATTCACATGCAAGCTTACACATGGCCCAGCAGCAGGCTAAGCCTCTGTGACACAGAATCCCCTAGGCCCAAATCACCCAAGGTGAACAAAGTGCCAACTCACAGGCTCGCCCGGGTGAGGTGAGACATCCGATTCATCCCCCTTCTGCTGGAGGAAGTAAAGACAGGTGAGCCAGCAATGGGGGCAGGCCCTCAAGGAGGCCCAACTTCCCACCCAGCCCCCTCGGGGTTCCTGGGGGTTACAGGGCAGGGAAGAGACTGCTGGCGCAGAAACTGCTCTGCGAGTTACCTGTGGTGGGGACTTCGGTGGGGACTGCGGGCCGATGCACACATCCAAACCTGGAATGGTTCCAACACTGGTGAGTGGTGGCCCTCAACTGTCCCACCACATCCCTCCCCACAGGATTCTTTCTTAGCAGCCTTAGGCCTGGGAACCAGAAATGTCACTGTTCATTGAACGCCTTCCACCTGCCCTTGGTGATGCCCCCAGGAACCGGATGAGGAACCTGAGGTCCTTCGAAGCAGGAACAGGCAGTTCTGAGAGGAGAACCAGGCTGCCCAGCTCTAGCTGAGCTTGTCTCCTAGCACTGAGCCCCTTTGAGCCCCTCTCTGAGCCTTGCTGGGCAAGCACAGCCTGACCTTGCCAGTGTCCTCCACTTCCTGCTCCCCAGGGAATACCTCCCGTATCAACCCCAGGCCCCAACAATGTGCTGCCTGCTATGGGGTGGCCCCTGCTGGGGCCAATTGGGAACCCCCTGGGGCTGGATGCAATAGGAGTACTGAACTAGAAGGCAACAGACAGGAAGGGAGCTGGCTGAGCAGCCACCTGCGGGGAGAGTCCGGATAGGGAGCACCTGGGGTGACTCAGCCCCACCTTGCGGGGTGGGCACTGCTGGCAGGCTTCTCCTAGAGGGCACAGGAGAAGCTCCGGGGCTGGGCTTCACAGGGACAGCTGTGGAGATAGACACAGACTGGCTGGCATTCGTGAGGGGCCAGGACTTCAGTCTCATAGGAAGAGCCTGTCAGGTACTTCTTGCCCCAGAACTGGCCTTGCCTTGTTGGAACCTGTTCTGCATGGTCTCACAGGGCTTCTCTTGTAGCCCAACCCCCCTCTGCTGCCAGCTGGGGGTCCTGAGCAGGGAATGCAGCACTCCTCAGCCTACCGTGCCTGACCTCGGAACACCTTCCAGAAACCGAAGACCTGGGGCTGCCTGGCAGGCAAAGCTCGGGAAGCTGTGTAACAGCGACCTTGAGGCAAGGCCCGGCAGTGCCCAGTAGGTAACTAGAGGTGGGACCACTCTCAGCATCTCCGCCCTCATTGTGGATTCTGTTTCACTCATCACCTCAAAACTTTGGGTCAGATTCCTGCTCAGCATGCTAATCATGCAAGGAGTTCTGTGAGATGAGGTTTATTAGATTAACCTCACCTTGGCTCGTTCTCCTTTGAGACTAGGGACACCAACTTCAGAGCAACTAAAGTAATTTGCAGGTTTTGCCAGGATAAGCAACTGCCAGCTTTTATACCAGTTCCAGACCCCCTGGAGCAATGCTTAGAAGCGTCTGGTCATTGCCCAAATCCTGTAGGCACTTTGGGTTCCAGAAAAAGCAGAGCCTGGAAGTTCAACCCATGATGAGGTCATGCCACACAGGGGAACAATCCCTTCATGCTGGGAACCAGTGTCACACTAGGAAGCGAGAGCAAGCATTTCATGGTGGGAGCCAAATTTCCCCCTCAGGAGATAACAGCATTCCCAGGACCTTACAGGACCAGTCCTGAGATACCATAGATCAACCAGACCGGAGGATTACCTACCCTGCCTGCCACACAAACCCCCAACCACTGCCTTTCTTCCCTTTTTCTATCAAACTCCAAGGTTTCCATCAGCCCAGGAAGGTAGATCTGGAATCTCTTTGTGTTCCTGGTGTGGCCCCTTCTGTGCCCTTCACTGCTCAATCTCTTTGACTAGGCTCATGGGACAGGTGGCCATGCCTGGTCTCTTGAGACTGCTAGAGCTGGGGCTTTTGCCTCAAAGTTTGGTAATAGCCACAGCTCCTAGATGTCCCAGGATAGGCCAGATTTCAAATACTCCTCTTGCTCTTAAGTTCTCAGACATCAACTTTTTGCTCAGAAAGAAGAGGAACTGTGTGTGGGAGGGCCCAGGGAAGCTTTCCCTCTAACCTGTCAATTCCCCCAAATCTGCCTCCCTTCTCCGGAACACCTGTGTCCTCTTAGGAGCAACGGGGGCAAGGCATGAGAGCCCAGAACACTGTCCTCTCACCTTTGCTGACCCTGGGCTCTGTGCACAGGCACAGCATGGAGGAGTCCTTGCCATGCAGGAGAACAGGAGGGGGGTAGAGGGAGCCTGAGGTAGGTACCCGTAGGCTGGCCATTCTTGGCACAACAGGAAGCCAAGACACCCACATAATGGCCAAAAAGGGGGAGCATCTGGGCTCCGGTTGGCCAGGTATTTCAGAGCCTCTGAAACTGCACAAGCCCCAGTGTCACCAAGGCAGCTGAATCCAAGGATGCTGATCCAGGAGGATTACAAGTTTGAGACCAGCTTGGGTAACCCAGCAACTTAGTGAGGCCCTGTCTCAAAGTTAAAAATGAAAAGGGGTAGGGATGTAATTCAGGGTAAAGGCCCTGAGGTCAATCAGTATTTAAAAAAAAAAAAAAAAAAAATCCCACCTCTAGGAAGCAAGGTTTGCACTGAGGCTGAGGGAAAGGCCCTCTGCTCTGCCTACCTAGAGGGCCCCCGGCAGCCTCCTGGGCCTCCTGACCCTGCCCTACCTGATGGGGAGTCTCCGGGGCTGCTCCTGGACTTCCTCCCGCGGCGGGTCAGGAATCGCTCACTCACCAGCTTGGCTTCTTCCAACAGAGCCAGGTTTTTCTTTTTGTCCTCTTCTGAGATGCTGATATCTGGCAACTGGTCATTTACCAGGTCAATGACGTGCCCCGCAGGGTCTGCAGAGAAAAGGTGAGCTCAGAGTGAGGGCCCCACCACTCCACACCTGGGCCCAGGGCTGCTGCCCAGAGCTGACCAGGCCAGAGGAGACTCAGCAGGGTGCTGGGTTGTGCAAAAGGTCACATGGGGACACACAGTGGCTTTCTTGTGTGCCTGGCCCCTCGGACTTGCGGCCTGTGGCTGTGGCGAATGCCCTGTCACAGAGGTCATGAAGCCACCTTGGGACTCCAGCTCTGCCCTATGCCCTGCTTTGGAAGCAGGCCACTGCGAGCCCCATTTCCATGCCTTCTGCTCCGCCTAGTACACTCTTCCTTTACATCTCCTTTCTTTAACAAGCAAGTAAGCTGAAGGTATGGGGAAGGCCAGCCAGAGACCCTGGGCCACAGTTGCAATCCCGTGGCCGCCTTCTCCTTCGTTGGTCCACTCACACGCGTACCCCAGCCTTCCCCGGACTCTCCCATCCCCAGCTGCGCATCAGGGCCAGCTGCATGTATGGTTCAGCTCTCGCACAGTGGCTCACACAGCCGCTCCTCCCCCAGCCCCACTTCCAACCCCTGACCATGTGCTGTACTCACCCCTCATTTATGACAATCCCTGAACCCTCCCTCCTCTCTAGTCCTGCTCTGTAGCTGCTACCTGGACAATGACATTGGCCATCCAGCGGGTCCCTGCCTTTAGGCCATTCCCTTTGCTTCACCTTCCACTGCTAAGAGAGTGACCGTACCACTCTCCTGCCTCACCCCATGGGGACTCCTCATGACCCTCAGAGTGACATCCAAAGTCTAAAATGGGCTTAGCCAATTTTTCAGGCCTGGCACATTCCCTCTGGGGCCCCTCAACACCAGCCCCCCCCCCCCCATGAGCTTCCTCCAGCTCCCATCTGGCTTCCTCAGCCTCTATTCCCACTGCACTGCACTGGGTAAAGCCCTACCCCAGGCTTCCCTTAGTTAGGAAGTAACTACTCACCCTCACTCACAAGCCCACCCCAAGTGCCACATGGGAAACATGTACCAGTGTTGGCCAACCAATGAGTTCAGTCCTGGTGGCACCAGGGATTGGCTCTGGTTGGCCACGTGAGACAATCTTGGGCATGGTACAGGGCATGGAGAAGAAAGCCTCTCTTTCCAACAATGGGACAGAAGCTTGATGCTGTTAGTAGCCATCTGTTATGGTGAGCAAAGCTCCTGCCCCAGAAGGGAACTAGCATGCTTGATAGAGAAAATGGGCAACCAGTAACCCACACCGAGTACTGCGTCTGGATCCAGTGATACCTGGAACCCAAGCCCGGCCTCCTATTCTTCTGTTATTATTTGGGGTGAGTGTGAATTGGCTTTTATCAACCCAAAGAGTCTTGGCTAGGACACATGGCAGAGCACTCAGGAGCCACCCCCAGAGCCCTGTGTGGCTCCCACTTCCTGTCATATCTTTCCTCCCACCTGCTGCACCTGTCCTCCCTCTTGTGTATCTGTCCAACTCTCTCGGGGGCAATTCTAGTGGCATTCCCTATGGAGCAGGTACCCAGGACTCCGCTCTCCAGAAAGAATGAGGCCCCTCCCAGCCTTGGTTTCCCCAGCTCTCCTGGGAAGGAGTGTCCTGATTACATCTCTGCTTCTCAGAGGCTTCATCGACTATGACCAACAGGAAGGCAGAAACCAAGTCAGTGTCACAGCGACACCCCAGCAACCCAGTGGAGACTGGGAGAAACCATAGATGAATGAGCCGGGGACGGGGCGGCCAGCCTTGCGCTCAGGCTCGCTCAGCCTGCATGTGCTCGCTCCGTCGTTCTGGCAGGGCTCTGCGCCATGAGCCAAGACAAGGGCCTCATCCGCTGTTCTGCCTTTGACTTCCTCGCTTCTTCAGGCTGGTTGGTTTTGGCTTTTCTCCAGAAGAAGCTGAAATTAGGAGCTGTACTTCTGGACTCAAACATGGAGGGGCCGAGATCTCTGCCTTGCTGGGGAGCCGAGGGGGAGGAGCTGAGTCGTCCTGCTCAACCACACCTTCCCCGCTGGCCCAGCGCTTACCCACCGATGTCAGCGACGCAGTGGAGACCTTCAGGTGTCGGTGAGAAAGCCTCCTGTGGGGGCTGGGAGCTCTGAAAGGCAGAACAGAATCGCCTCATCAGGAGACCGCTCAGTGCCAGTGTCGTCCTTTAGTGTCATCCCAGAGCATCGTCCTGGGAGCATGTCTGGGGTCCTCTGATCCTCACCCTGGGAACTTCTTAGAAAGGCAGACTCTCACTTTTTGTTAGAAACGCAGACCTCCTGGACCAGAAACCCTGGGGCGTAGGCCCAGGGAGCTGCGGTCTAAGGAGCCTCTTGCGGCTTCACGCACACTCGTTTCACCAACCTTGGCTGTCAGGGGAGGCAACTTTGACTGACGACGGTACTTACTGTTCTTTAGGACCCAGACTCTTGAGCTATGATCTGAGCAGCGGAAATCACATAAAATGAGAAGAACCAAAAAGTATGGCATCCGGGTCGGCCAAATAGCTCAGCAGATTAAAGTGCCTGTTTAGACAGATTTAGCGTCCGGGAATTTGATCCCCGGACCTGCAGTGCCAGCCCGGCCCCCTGGGCGCACTGAGACTGGGTGTGGTGGCTCAAGCCTGTAATCCCAGCTCTTGGGAGGCTGTAAACAGGCTGATCACTACAAGTACATCTAGTAATGAGAACCTGAACATCCTGTAGACCCTCCTCCCCCCCCCAAAAAAAAATATGGCATCGTTGCCCTGCAGAACATTAAGCTACTGTGTGTCTAACTTAGCTACTTTATCCCAGCATCATTTTGCTCCCCTTTGTTAAAACATGAAATTAAATCTTGACATGTGCTCACTATATGAGAATTATTTTATACCTTTCTGAAAATTGCACTTAGACAATCAAATTCCAGCTGGACCAGTGCAGAGTGAAATGGTCGGTGAACCTGTGACCCAGTGTCACCCTGCAAGGTGCCATCTTCCATCCAGGACCCACTCCAGCCAGGGACAGGGTTCTGTAGCCAAGGACTCAAAACTTTCAGATTTGTCTGCAAATATCTGGGTGGTTCTCATGAGAAAATCCTCTGCTATGGTTTGTGCCTTCTTAAAAGCTAACTAAGTGTAAAAGGCTTTCTGAGCCCCACATTCTAGGAAAAATTTGCCCATTTTAGTTTAAGTTTCAGGTACCCAGCCTGCTTACCTGTTGGCCAGGGACTTGTCGGCCTCTCCTGGGAAACCGGCATCCCCGGTCAGGATGATTGCGGGTGGGCTGTGGAATATTCCTGCCGAGGGAGGGCCCTAGGGGTTTGGAATGAAAAAGCAGAAGGGGTTAGGCTTGTGCCAGTGTGAGTGGCAGCAACCACCCCAGCACCATGATGCTCAGGGCTATCTTGGTTGTAGGGACCAACACAATGTGCTTGCTTGTTTTACTTCTATTAAGGTCTAATCAATAAACTAAGATTATAGTATGCAAGGTGTACAACGTGACATTTTGATAGGCATAATTTAAAAATAACTATCACAATGAAACTAATTAACATATATACCACCTCATTTAACTGTGTATACAGTAAGAATACTTTGCAAATTTCAAACATAGAAGAACTTTACTATTAACTGTAGTCACTCCACTATACATTGGATCTCCAGAACTTACTTATCTGATAGCTGAAAATTTGTACTCACTAACTAACTTCTCCCTATGTCCTCTATCTCCTAACTCCTGGTAACCACCATTCTAATCTGTTTCCACAAATTCAATCTCTTAAGATTCCATGTATGAGGTCATGTATTACTTATTTTTTTGTATCTGGCTTATTTCACCTAGCTTAATGTCCTTTAGATCCATCCATGTGGCTGCATATGACAGGACATCATCCTTTTAAGAGGCTAAATAATATTCTACTGGGCATGTGCATCTACGCATTTTTCACATTTTCTTTGCATATCCAACAATAGGCATTCAGGTTGTTTACATATCTTGGTTATTGTGAATAATGCTTCAGTGCCGTTTATTTGGATTCACCAGAAAAGAACATACAGGCAGCATCTCCTTCCTTCCCCAGCAGGCCTTTGCCAGCTTGGCACAGAGCACCTGGCACTAAGACTGAACCCCACACACCCTCCCCAGTTAGTCTCGGCAGCAGCACATGGACAAGACAGCTCAGAGCCCTCAGACAGAGGCCAGCCCGGCCAGGAAGAACAACAGCCAGAAGAAAGGGTGGCAGCATCCACATGTTCCTGGTATTCCATCTTTGCAGAAACGCTTATCAGTACAAATGTATATGTCTGAAACTAGAACAAAGTTCTTGACTATTCCTGGATATTTTGAGTATTATTTCACAAGGACTCCATAAATGGCAAAGAAATCCTCACGCCCTAGGTCAATGCATTTGTATACTCATAGGCTGCTGATGGCTGCTTGAAGGGTGAAGCTACAGCAAGGGTATAATAGACACTTGCAGAGTGAACAGATAAAGTAATGAAGCCAAAGCAATGTGGGATCTACAGTTAGATCCATGAGGATGCCCTGCAGCCTAGGTCCTCCCAGGCCTGAGTGGACCAGTTATAAACATAAGGCCACATTAGTCGTGATACTCCATGTCTGTCTGGTCCATTAGCTATCTGCTATTGCAATATTGTCTTCTCACAATTGTCCCCACTTTGTCTGGGAGGCTCTCTGGGCGTTCTCTCCACCATCCTTAAGATGCTTAAGAGGACACTTTCCTCTTTGCTTCTCCTCCTCCAGTCTCCTTGACTTCTGTGCACTACCAGGCCCTCCTCTGAACACCCTCTTCCTTCCTGCACAACAGGTCTGTCTCTGGACTCTCAGAGCTTGTCACTCCCACCTCCCCGTGGCTGGAGCTGCCTCCTGCACTGTTACAAGAGTGGGTGTTGGCCCCCCACTGCACTTTGTGGGTGAGGGAGTCCCATTGGGCACTTAGTGTTCTCACTTCTAATGGCCCCTCTGCCACCACAGCCCGTGGGTTGCTGGCTTCAGAGCCCAGCCTGAGCCATGTTCCTGAGTGCTCGGGGCATAGGAGCTAGTTCTCTGCTGTTTCCTTTTCACATTCTACTTTCTTGTTTGCTAGGTGGGTCCTGAATAGCTCTCTTAAACTCCTTAAACCCCACAGCTGTAGGAAAGCCCAGTCTTCTCATTTTCACTCCCCTTCCTCAAATATAAGGTGATGAGAACTGGAGACATTGTCTCCAAGTAAGAATCCTCCCAGGGAACATGATATTATCTCCTTTGATGACAAGATGCTTTTATTTGGAAGTTCAAAACCAGACCCCTGAGAAGTCCTTACTTGGACTCTGGGTCCTTATCCAGGACTTCACAAGTGGTTGGAGCAGAGGAGATGTTTGGAATCTCCCATCATATGGAATGAAAATTGTGGGGGTGTTTTTGCAGAGACTTAACTGGGCAGAAGGGACAGAAAGCAGCATTGTCTACTGAAAGAGAGACAACCCTGGCTTAACTTCTACTCACCACTTAGGAGCTGTGTGTCCTCGGGCACGCTATTGGTCCCATGGTCATAAAATCTAATTCACAAGGTTGGTTTGAAGACGAAATTAATGTCCATAAAGCACCTAAGTCATGATTGACACTTGCAATGAATGACTATTTTATTGTCAGATTGCCCATCATCCAAAAGATAGCTTTTGGTGACTACCATGTGCCCGGAGCAGCTTGAGACATAAGGAGCAGATCCTCAAGCATTCAGGTCAAGCAAGGGACTCAGAAAACCAGCATGCCACTAATCAACATAAAATGACAAGGAGCCGACCTCATTCCATGCAGGCTCAGAAGAAAGAAAATAACCGCTAGTCAGAGAAACTAGAGAAGGCTCTATTGGGGAAAGACATTGGATGACAGCTCCTGAGGGATGAACAGAGGTTTGCAAGATGAAAATAGAGGGAGAGATTTGGTACAAAAGAAGCAGCATTATCAAAGGGCATAACTAGAACTAGGTACTAGGAGCATGGATTACAGGTTTGTGAGCTAGGGCTTCCTAGGGGTGGGGGAAATGAAACTTGAATAAGAAGTCGAGTCTGTTTTAGAGTTTTGTCTAGTGGTTGTGGAGAAAGGGAACCCTAGAGGTGAGGCTTGGGAATCCCTTGACTGCCCCAATAGTAAGCACAGAAATATCAACAGCAGCTGCATCCCCGAGTCCCCTTGATGCGCACTGGCTGAGATGATGGAAAAGGCCGAGTTATTACAGCATCCATCCTCCCTTTTCCGGCATTAATGCTGGTGCTGCCCCCGAGACTGGCCAACCTACCCTCATGGCCCCGGAGCTCCAGGCCCTCTAGGCACAGCGTTGCACCCTTCTGTCAAGGGCTCCTGAAAGTAATATCCAGACTCCAAGAAACAACAACTTCTCTGAACACTGTCACCTTGATGCGCTGCTGATGAACTGCCCACTGGCTTTGTCCCCTCATCACATTATCCTTCAGTCCCCAGTTAGTGAAATGGCCAAGGGCTTGTTCTGTCTCAGAGGAAGGTTGTGCCAACATAACGAAAGAATGGATGAGCACATGTTTCAATAAGTCACCTGGCCCACAGATGCTCATTATTTGAGACTTTAAAAAAAAAATAGAATAGTGGTTCTACTGTGAGCGAATCAGCTCTCTTATCTTCTGTCCCCTGGGCTTCTCTAGAAGAGGCCACTGAGCAGCAGGGATGCTGCAGGATGCCCGAGGAGCCAACAGGAAAGCAGGAAGATGGAGGATCGTGGCTGAGGGCCTCCTGAGGACATGCAGGAAGAGGCACAGGTCAAGAAGGGAAAGCCGTATGTCAACATGGTAGCTGTCAGGATGAGGCGATGGCAGATGGGGCCAGGGGTGACGTTGAGCTGAATGGGAGCCAGACACAAGGAAGGGGTGGGGTTTGTACTGTGTGGACCTGGTGCACAGGAAGGGCTGAAGTTTTCTCAGTCTTCTCTGCACATCATTAAAAAAGGTCTCTGGCTGGGGTGGTCTCTGGCTGGGGTGGTCTCTGGCTGGGGTGGTCTCTGGCTGGAGTGGGTCTGCTTCAGGCATTTTGGGCACCTGGCCCTGAAGGCATCTGAGTGACTGGCCCTGTGTCGAGTGACTCTTACTCTGTGCTGGCTTGCTGGAGTACAGCTGATGTGTACCTAAATGCTCCCCAAGCTTGTCATCTTAGTGGTTCATGTGTGACCTGCTACAGGAGTGCCAGGCAAAACTCTGACACTTCTCACAGAATGTGCAGGGCTCCTTCCGTGAGTGGATCCTGGCCTGACTGTGAATGAGCTTCAAAACCTGCCTTTTTGTGTGGGGGCCACATCTAGGGCACTGCTTTCTTGTGAGTCTTCCAGAGAACAAGAAAAAAAAGTATATTGGCTAAAACATTGTCATAGACACTATATTATAAGATTTCTGTTGTTCCTAGGCAGGGCCTACATAACTCCCAATGTGCACAGGTGTAAATGGGCTGCATTTGTTTGACGGCTGAACTGGGTCAACCATGAATGAACTTCTTCAGATCCCATTTCAACAAGTAACTGCAGTGGTAGTGGTATAGTGCATATCTATTTCTGAGAATTTGGTATACCTGTCTTCTAAGTAAAAAGAATACAGATCTTATTTTCATTTATTGACATATTCCCTACTTCCCAGGGCAACTTGAAGCAACCAACAGTAGAGTAAAAGACATAAAGTCACAAGACCATAAAAATAGGAGAGCAGTCCAATAAATATTAATATTCATGTAAAGAGGAATGCTTGCTCCTCCTACCCACCTATGGTCTGGCTCTGAAATTAAGCTGTTGGACCTGAAACCTAGGGAAGCTGAGATGCACACAGCCCAAGCTCTGAGGAGGACTGTGTTAGAGAGCTGTTCCATGGGCCACACCCAATGGAAAAAGGTCTTCATTTCTCTTTTCCACCTCTCAAAGGACATGAAAAGGAAGCAAGTCTTAATCGCTATCCTCACATCTCTCCACTTTAAAAATTTCCTGCATTTTTCTCACAGTGGAACTCTGATGACTCTTCCCTTGTTTACTCTTCTTGCCCAAATCCTCCCTACCTATTTTTCTATCATCCATCATTCACCCATCCACTCATCCATGCACCCATCCACATATCCATGCACCCATCCATGCACCCATCCATCCACCCATCCACTCATCCATCCATCCATGCATCTGTCCACTCATCTACCCATCTATCCATGCAGCCACCTACCCATCCACCTCTCTTTTTGAGGCATTTCTCTCTCTCTCTCTCTCTCTCTCTCTCTCTCTCTCTCTCTCTCACTTTTGAATCTCCATTCATTT